GGGGCTGGGCCTGTGTAAATGCCCTGGCTACCTGTAGATGAGAACCAAGAGACAAGCATTCCTGTAGCCGGAGGATGCTCCTGAGGTGGTGAGCCCTCAGAGTACTCAACCCTCCAGGTCCTACCTTTTTAGGTCAGCCCACTGCTACACTGAGGACACGAGAGGGCCCGAGGGGTGATGACGCTGGCCCTTTAGCTCTCATCCCCCAGCAAGAAGCTAGCCATCCTCCTACCCCCCATCCACCTCCAGCCTACCAGGCACAGCTGGCTACACTGATGATGAGGGAGCAGAGACGGGTACTGCAGGTAGACGATGCGACACTGGTCTGGGCTCAGCCGAGGAGAACAAACAGCCAGGGAATCGCCCGAGAGTAGTTCTAGGCCACACAGAAATGTATCACACAGAGAGGCTCGCGTGTGTCAGGAACGCCCGCGTGGGTACCGGTCACTTACCACACTTTCCTCCGCTCAGGTCCACGTAGTACAGGGCCGATCTGGACCGGTGAGAAAGACCCTCAGCTCCACGACCAGCTGGCCCATAGAGCCCTCTGCCCTGCCCCAACTCCTCACCTTCGATTGGTGCAGAAACGGATGCCTAGCCGGAAGGGTTCATGCCACCAGCCCACAAACACCACACCGGTGTCTCCAGGGGCCCAGAAAGCCTGTAGGCAAGACCACAAGATAAGTATAAGCAAGAGGTAACTGCTCAAGCAGGGGACCCCAATTACAGGAGGGGAGAGGCTGAGTTGCTGCTGACCTGACCAGGGGACACATTTTCAGGGACGCCTTCAAGCACTGAGATGTTGCCACTCTCGATATCCAGCACGCACAGCACAGGGGTGCTTTTGGAAACCATGGTTTCTCCCCAGTCTTCGTAAAATACAAACTGATCCCCCTGAGAACAGAGGACACTTGATGCCCAGAGTGTCAACAGAACCCCGGAAGCCGGTGCCCCCCCAGGCCTACTAGGTGCAGTGCAGGGGTACACTGAGTTGCAGGGCTGCCCCGGCAGGGCCTTCATGGCCTGGCTGCAGCACAAGCACCTTGATGGCCTGGTCTGGCTTCTTCGGCCTGGCCATCTCATCATCGCTGGCACTGATGTCCAAGGCTTTGGTTTGAAAGAAGGACTCAGCCTTGGGGCGCTTCTTCTCCGCCACATACAACAAGTGTGTCTCTGAGTATGACCAGGAAAGGCAGCCAAAACAGTCTGGATGCAGGGAGGGATGATTAGGGGGAGCCCAAAGCTCCAGCTGCCCCTTCTTTCCACCCTGCCTGCTTACCAGCCAGGTGCCTCACCGTCCTCGTACACGGGGCCATGTTTCTCCAGAGCCGACAGGTTGAAACTCTTGAGCTTCCGATTCTTCTCCCAGACCTGAGGACACCTGGGCATCAGGCAGCCTGCCCCTCACCAGAGCCTTGCCTGCGAGGCTCAGCAACCCACTGCCTGCCACCTCATTTCTGCAGACTCACCTCCAAGAACTGTTTTTCCTCTCCCGGGACTGTGCCGCCGGCCTTGCGCAGCACAGCTTTCATGGTACCCGAAGGAGACTCTCTACTCAGCAGCCTGAGGACAGGGGTTGCAGGTCAGGATTATGCCAAGCCCCCAGCCAGCCTTGTGAGGCCCCCCTTACTGGTTACAACCTCTCAGATAAAGACTCTGTATCTCTCTTTCCTTCCCTGCTTTATGAGTCTGGTGCTGTAAGATCAGAGGCGGCAGCGCAGGCGACTATCTTCCAGCTAAACCCTAGATAAGACTCTTGAGGCTCTGATCTCATTATCAGCCCAGGAAGCACCTCCAGCCTCAAGCTGGCTAGCCTTGGCTCTCTCCAGATTCCCGGGGACCTAGGACCTACTTTGGAAGAAGCTTCTAGCACATCTCAGGAGACCAATCAAGCTCTTAAGGAGCAGGCACCTGGTTCTTTGCTCCCTTGAAGCGCCTCAAAGTTGTCCCTGAAGGGGACAGGTACAGAGCCCTATGCCCTAAGGCCCCATAGTGGACGTGGGAAAGGCTGGCACGGCAGGTGGCTGTGGTCTTGTCTGCAGACTTCTCTCACACTTACTCCCCCCGGGTCTCCACACTGTTGCCTGCAGGCCCGGCAAACACCACCGAGTCTCCATCATGGAACACCAGGTACTGGCGGCAGAACCGGATGTTCTCCATTCGCTCCAAGTCCCTCTGAGTCCACTCTGCAAGGGAGACATGAGCTGTCTGTGGCCAGTCTGGACCAGAGCCCACCAATCGGACTACCTTTGCTCCAAACACCCTGAGTGACGCCTGCACAACACTTCACTTGTGATAACCTAAACCTAGGCTTCCCGAGCCTGAGCTAACAGCCGCGTGGAGAGAACTTATTCCTGACAGCATGCGAACGGGCCGGAGAGTCCCGCAAGGTCCACGCCTTGCAGCCAGGTCCCACACCTTCAACTCATTTACGGGCATCACCAACCAGCAAGGCGAGCACAGTCCCCAGAACACCTGTGCGCTGGAGCCACGGCTGGGCCCCGTGTGCACCGTCAAGCAGCGAGCCCTCCACACTCCCCACCTCTCCACCTGAGGAGACGGCCCGTCGCCACCCAGTTCCCTCGGTCTACCCACCAGTGTGCACCGTCCGATAGAGGCCCCCGTACTGCGTGGTGACCTCCGGGCCCAGGCAGGCGGCGCTCAGCGTAGGCTGGCGGCTGAGGCCCCGGTACAGCGCTGCCGCCTCCTGGGGCTCACTCAGCAGCACCTGCGCGGGGGACACACCAGGGTCAGGCTCAGCCCGGGCTACGGAGGCCACGGGGGCCGCGGGCCGAACCCTCACCTGACGCTCCATAGCTCTTCCCTTCGGTAGCCGCTAAGGCCCGGAAGTGAGGCTTCGAGGGCGGGGCCTAGGGCGGCCCCCAGTTTCCGCTACACCCCGAGGCGACCTGGGACTGCGCGGCCCTGTGTGAGCTGGGGCCAGTCGGCGGGGGCGGAGCCTTGATGGTGGGAAGGCGGGGCCCGCGGAGGAGCCGCCCTGAGGGGAGGAGCCTGTGGGTGGTGTCCTGAGCCTTTTCAGAGAGGGAGGGCGGACGGGAAGCGGGCGTGAGGGGAGGGGCGAAGTCTGGGAGGGGCGGAGGCTGTAGGAGCTGACTCCGCCCCCGGGCTGTGAGCTGAAGGCCGCGGGGCCAGAGAGAAAGCCCGGAGCCTTCGAAGGGCCTCGGAGGAACCCCGGTGACGCGTCTTCGAGGATGAGGCGCGGGGAAGGGTGGGAACCGAACGCTGAGACTGGAGGGTCCCGGAAACCGGAACGTTGCGGGGAGGGGCGCCGCGTGGATCTCTCCTCGTCTACTGCAGGCCCCGCAGAGGGGAGGGGACACCGCAGGTCCCGGGGCGGAGCTCTGGGGCGCCGGGCAAAGGGCGATGCTGAACTCTCAGAATGCTGCCCCGGCTTATCAGTCAACAGACTTGCCCCCAAAGCTATCTGTTTCCACAGCCCTAAACCGCCCTTCTCAGTGGCTCATTGCCACTGAGCAGATTGGGTCTCCACCTACCCCCAGAGGGGAGTCAGACTTCACCTAGGAGCAACAAGTGTGCTGTGGAAAGAGGCGCCTAGGCAGTCTCCTGCACGCGACACAGGGCTAGGCTGGTCTGGATGACAGCAGATACCTCCCCCTCCTCCATATATCTTAAGCCTGGCTGGTCTTTCAAACCAGTTCTGAGTCGCCTTGAACGAGTGCTTTCCTTCTTACCTGAGGCAAAATTGATATTCTTTTTGTTTAATCTGTTTATTTTCCATTGATGTTTGAACTATATATTTTTAGTTTCTCCACATAGTCCTGGCCTCAAACGTAGAGACCCAACTGCCTCTGCCTCCCTAGTCCTGGGATTAAAGATGTGGGCCACCACACCAGCCCTGAACTATTCTTACTTTATGGCGGACAAGGTCTCAGCTATTAAAATAAATAAAAATAAAAAATTGCGGTTGGAGCAAGTCGGGCAGATGTAAAGCTTGTTTGGGACCACAAGAGGGCAGCACTTGAGTATCCAGCTCCTGGGAACCAGGATTAGAAAACTGCCCTGTGGAAACCCATTGGCTTGGCACTGATCTTGGCACCTTCCTAGGGAGTCATTTTTAAATGGCTTGATGCGGACTCCGCCTCAGCAGTGACAACACTTCTGAAATTTTGCCCTTTCTCACCTTTTTCTCTAACCATGGAGACTCTTGTTGGGTATTTGTTAGTTTGGCCTTCGCAAGCATTCCCATGTTAGAAATGATCCCAAAGACAGTCTGGAGTCTGTTTATATCAAGTCCTTTTATTCTGATACCACAGAAATACCTTGTCACAATACAGGGGAGGGACACTGAAGTACCGCGAGTTCTCACAGAGCACGGGAGGACGGCACACAATTCACAAGGTCATGTGGAGGACTCGTTACAACTGTAAACTTGTTTGTTTGACTTTGTACAGCACTCTTCCCCCTCAAATAAAGGAGAGAGGGAAAGAGAGGGAAGGGAAAGCAAAAACAAGACATGGAAGCTAGAGGAAAAGATGGAGATGGCCACTACTCCTCAGGGTACCCCACTTGGAGAGGAGCCGATTTGACCCCAGAGGCTGAATGAGACTTGTGCGCACACACATGAACGCACGCGCACACACACACACACACACACATACACACACACTCATGTACACATGCTTACACATACAGTATCTCACGACTTCTATGGCTCTCCAGTGCCACCCGGTGCATACGGTAGCAGGGTGCTGGCACCCAGGGAGACAGAGATGGCATCTCTAAGGAGTTTCTGTTGATTAGATCTGTCCCTCCGACCCTGTTGGAGTCCATGATGACAAATATTTACAGCATGGGAGGAGAAGGGCTAATAGGACTGTACTCTCATGGCAAAGGACCTGCCTGGGAAAACAACTCGTGGGCTCCAGAAAACAGGCCAGAATTGCTGCCCTGGTTGCTCTCTCACTGTGGGCCCTGAGACCATTTGCCATGCCCAAGAAATAGAAAGGTGATGACAGGAGGACTGTCACTGTGACGTGAGTGTTGAGGCCGTGGATGCGCAGAGGAGGGTACCCTCGCTTATGACGCTGAGAGGAGAAAATGGAGGTGGTCTGGACTCTACCCAGAGACTTCTTAAACACTTGGAGATGGCACCCATTGCTTACTGTGTCCTACAGCTGCAAATGCTGGTCCCCAAGCCTCTGGCTGTCATAGCCCTAGAGTCAACGCAAGAGCCAGGATACCCATGACCTAGAAGACTGCTGCAGCCATATTCACAAAGGGACAAAGATCTGTCCTGTGGGTGCAGCCAGGGATAGAGTAGCAGATATCAGAAATGTCCAACTCAGAATCTGGCCAGAAAAGAAATTTGCTGAGAAGTTAATACTTTAGAGCCTAGGAGGGCTGCCAGAGGTTGACCTGTGGATATCCTGCCTGCTCTCAGCTGCTGGTCTAATCCCTTGACTACAAGTGGAAGCGGATACTGCCATGACCCCAAGTGTCTAAACACTGGGCACATCCCGTACAGACCTGGGCCTCTGTGGCTCGAGTTCCTCAATGAGGGTCTTCTTCAGCCCTTGCTCAGATGGCCTCATACAGCCCAGGTCCGATCTCTGAGATGTTCCATAGCATGAAGAAAGCCAAATCCTGAGAACTCGGGGTCTTAAGTCTAACACAGCTTAAACTGTCCCATCTGCAGCTGCCAAAGGTGGGATGGGATCCCGCTCTAAAGGACTGGTAGGCCATGTGAGAAAGCATGAGGAATGTGGACCCCTGAGAAATGCATGGTGTGCACCGGAGCACGCTGGAGGCAGTCAGACTTCAAGGGCTAGGCAGCTACTGTCCGCCCTCCCCCAGTGGAGGAGATGCCGACAACAGTGGAAATCTTACGCTTTGGAGGAAAAGGAGGCAAGCCCTGAGAGGGTTACACAGGCTCTTCAGGAAATTCTGCTTTCGAGAAACCCTCTGATCTCAGTCTGAAGCTGTTATTTATGTCGTTCTGGATGATATTTTTAACCACAGAGGCTGTAGCCAGCTCTTCCTGGGCACCCTATGACCCCTGGATCTATGCCAGATTTCTTGGGTCAGCCCTTTGAGTCTCCTCACCACTCAGGAGAGGCATAGAGCAGGTTCAGTCAAGACCTAGGGATCCTAGGGCACAGCCAGGATCCCTTGGCTTCTGCCTCTCCACAGATGTAGCCCAGCTTTCCCCTTGAGGAGTGCCCCACTGGGAAGGGGTGAGCAGACGCCTCTGCCTCAGGCCTGGGATAGGAGGGAAGAATGATGTACAAGTAGAAGTCCTACAGCAGCAAACCCACAGAATGTCCACACGCGTGCATCCTGTGCGGGCTCCTATCTCTGTCTAGTCTGAGGTTTGTTTTTTTATTTGCTATTGTGGACAGATAGAAACTGCAAGGTGCAGGGGGGGCCTCACTGCCCGCCCCATGGCCTGGGGCAGGTCTTTACCAGCGTGTGCTGAAGTCAGGGGAGAACTGCTCCTAGAGGAGAGGTTTGGAGGCAAAAAGAACTCCACGCAGGAGGGTCGAGCATTTAAAATGAATGAAATCGTGCAAAGAAGCTGCGAGCTGTGCATGCTCCACTGCGAGACAGGCGGCGACTCACCTGGCAGCAGCGAGTCCTGCCACAGGTCAAACATGCCACAGACTTAGAATTTGCGCACGCGCACACGCTCACATTCACACACACTCATGCTCTTGCTTTCTCACACATACACACACACACACACAGTGAGAACAAGGATTGCGTTGGGGTGGTGATATGAGCAGATCTACCCAGTTTCTCAACTGCGTGTTTGCAATTAACTCCTTATATGTAACATGGAATTTATTAAATATTAACAGTTGTCTTTGAGGGTTTATATTTCATTGCATAGAACATTAGAGATGAGACTTGTGGCTGTGCCCGAGATGAAGGGAAGCCTCCAAGGGAAGGGCTTCGGGGAGGCATGCAGCCCAGTCCACCAGGTGAATGGACGATGTCACCCTCCCCTGACCCCACAGGGCTCTGAGCCTTTCCCTTGCCGGCGCAGAAGCCCTGCCTCCTCTGCCCTGAGCACACCCACTGCTGATGGCTTAAGAAGGACTGGAATTGCACAGTAAACAGGCGGGCTGAGGGGCCTCCCTAGACCTCGCCCTGGGTTTGTGCTCTTGGTGGCCTGCTGCCCGCTATTGCTTCATAATCAACATTTCTCCCTGTGCTGAGCAGGGGCAGAGCAGAGAGGAAACCAAACCATCAGTCACAAGGTGGAGGAGGGGAGAGACAAAGGGATAGAAGCAAAGGAAAAAAAAGGGGGAGAGAAAAAAAAATAACAAAAAGAAATGTTCATGAGGTATACATGTAAATCAAACTGGAATGATTAAGGCTGTTGTTGAAATCAAAAGAAATCCCCAGGTGTACAGATGAGGAGCCGAGGAGCCGGCTGGTCGAGATGATGGCGGTGCTTCTGGGATACTCACAATGGCTGGGGGGATGGCTTTAAGATGATGGCAGGCATGCCTAGTTATGCTGCCATCCACGGGCTGGGAGACGCCTCAGCCGGTGCCCACGCTGCTTTTCGGTGCTATGGCCTCTTATTTCAGCAATGAGACAGTGTTAGGTCCTAATGTTTGTAAAGTTCTCCCAAACCCATGCTGGCCATGTGGAGGTCTGCTCCAGTGTCACCCAGAGGGCAGGGTGAAGGGGGCAAGGCCTTATGGCCACAGAGGGATCCGGGCCAGCTGGAATGTGAAGGAATCGGAGCCCAGGGACCCCAGCCCTCAGTCAAAGCCCCTCTCCAAGGCTGTGGAAAAAACTTCTGGCATCTTAGAGGGAGGGCAATGTGCACCCAAACTCTGTGTATAACGCATTGGAAGCCTGGTTGGCCAGGCCACAGGAGGCTGCCGGAAGAGCAGGAGACAGCCACAGCAGCATCCGAGTTCTGGTGAGGGCTCCTCTCTCCCAAGGGCGACTGGCCTGAGAAAGGCAGAGTCTCTGGAAAGACATGAAAGTTCCCCCAAGCCTATGGTCCCACTGGTCCAGCAGATGCTTCACCTAGGTAGTTGCTGTTAGAAAACATCCCATGCACTGCTGAGGCCTGTCTGCTGTGGCCCACCTGGTGGGAATCTTTGGGCCAAGGGTTTGCCAGATTGTAGATGCTTTGAAAAAAGAAGGAGAGAAGGAGGGAAGAAAGAAGGATATGTATATACTATATACATACACACACACACGTATAAACATAAATATAATTTTTTTGTCAATAACCATAGGCATAGTTTCCCACCCTCCTCACATTGCTCTCAGGCTGCCATGTACAATGGTCAGGTCCCTCTTCATTCTGTTCTAATCAAGGCATTGAGGGGTTAGTATTTGTGCAAGTTAGAGATGACTGAAGGAAGGACTTGGAGAAGGAAGAAGCGAATCCCCAGGAAAAGACCTCCCTTCTTTCTCTCCCATTTGAGACAATAGGGTGTTCACTAGATTCCAAATTTAAGGTGACACTAGGGTGATCCTCCTGCCTCAGCCTATGGAGTAGCTGGGACCACAGGCCTGTGCCACCACATCCAACCTGACACTTCTTTTCTTTTTTCAGTGCTCGTGTGTGTGCACATGTGCTTGCACGCACAGGTCAGAGGGTGACCTGCAGAGCTGGTTTTCTCCTTCCACCATGCGTATTCTGGGATTCAAAGTCGGGTTGCCAGGCTTTGGCAGCAAGCGTCCTTACCCACTGAGCTACCTTGCTGGGCCCTTGGCATTTATTTTGTAAGAAAAGTCCCTTTTGTTTTTCTTGAGAGTGTAGGAAGCCAGGGATGGCAGCAGACATCCATCATCCTAGCCTTAAGCGACGGAGGCAGGAGGATCACTGCAAGCTCACGGTCAGCTTGACCTACATGTATTGAGTCACTGGCCAGTCAGTCCTTCAAAGGAGACCCGTCTCAAAAAGCCAAAAACAAGCGGGAAGATGAGGGGGACGGGGTTTTGTTTCAAAAGACAAGCCTGTCCCGGCTCATCCGGGGACGGACACGCAGAGCAGCTGTGGCCGCATGTTGGCACAGTGCTGGGAGCAGAGGGAGAGCTCACCTACACAGCCGTGGCTCAGTGGCCTGGCCGCACTGCAGCAGGACACGCGACCAAGCACACGCGTGCTGCCTTTCCTTGGCAGTTCTCTGGCCTGGCCCTGGCCCTGGGCCCTGGGCTGTCCGTCCCCACCTCCCCTGAGTGCCACTTGAGATTACACCAAGGAAATGTTCAGCTGAGAGGGAGGGCGGCGAGGTGTCCACCGCCCCACAGCTGGGAGGACTCTGGCAGGACTGTGGTTGCCGCCGCTGGCAGAAGGCCCAAGCTCTTTGGTCTACAGTGCCCACCCAAAATGGCTCCCCTCACCACTGCCCTCTGCTGTGGCTTCGCTGCGCTCATCTGTGCCTGTCCCAGAAGCTTACAGGTTCCTCGGAGTATCAGACGCTCTGCTGGCACGGGGCCTTTGCGTATCTTCAGCTCTGACTGCTTCAGAAACCCTGCTGCACAACACCTGCCGCCTTCGGAAATTCCTTTCAAAATGATTCTGAATTATTTTATTTATTTACTTACTTTTGCGGGTATTTTGTGATTTTTATTTTATTTTTTTTAAGATTTAAAAAAAAAAAAAATTATCTGCATATACACCTGCACGCCAGAAGAGGGCACCAGACCCCAGTATAGATGGTTGTGAGCCACCATGTGGTTGCTGGGAATTGAACTCAGAGCATGCTCCTCTCCGGGCCGTTTGTTTGTTTGTTTGTTTGTTTGTTTTTAAGACAGGGTTTCTTTGTGTAGCCCTGGCTGCCCTGGAACTTGGTTTGTAGACCAGGCTGGCCTCAAACTCACAGAGGTGGTTCTGCCTTTGCCTCCAAGTGCTGGGATCAAAGATGTATGTTACCATGCATGGCTAGATTTTTATTCTGAAACTTATTGGTTCTTTGTTTCCCTTAATGGACTGCTGACTTGAAAGGGCAGGAACTTGGTTTTGATTCCTATTGTGTCCCTGGTGTCTAAAACAGGGCTCGGCACATATCTGGGGCTTGACAAGCATTTGTTGGATAAACGGATGAAAGACTGAGCCCTTTCAGCACCTAAAAAGATGCTCCCAAAAAGACGGCCTGTGCTCTTCTCTACCACGAGCAGGCATGCTCTAAGCCGGGGCACTCACTGCTCCAAGGTTCCCTTACAGTGACCTGCTTTCTGACTGCTGGCCCCCACCATGGCTGTTCACATATCTCTATACTCTTAACCCTAGAGTGGGAAAAAAAAAGAGCAGGAGATGACAGGCCTCGAGGAGACAGAGGGATAGGTAATTCCTGGCTGTGCAAGGAACAGCTCCAACAGCTAGGCTGCTCTCCCTGATTCTGGATGAGGCATTTCCCCTTCTGTCCACAGAGGCAGGGCCAAGGCCAGGACCAGGGCAGGCTCCAAGAGGGAGCGTCCCATCTTCAGTCCTGGTAGCAAGGGCTCCTACCCTGAGTCTTCCTGCTCCCTTGCTGACCTAGAGTTGGGCTGCGACTAGCTGACCAGCCACTTTTTTTTTTGTCTGTGTTCTTTTTCTGTCTGTCTGTCTGTCTCCCCATTTCACCCACAATATAACCTGTGAATCCAAGAGTGTCCTGACTTCATGCCCAAAGCTGCTAAGTTCTTCTGGGTTCGGAGACACCAGCACTGGGTCTCCAATAAGAGCCATAGTCTGTCCCCCAGGATGACTTTGCACTCAGTGTCCAGAATACAGACCTGAAGCTGTAGGGGGACAACTGGCTTCGCTGGGTCCTTTCCCCAAGCATAGCTGACTCTTACCATCATGCCAGCCAGCACACTGCCTCTGAGGGCAGCTGCGAGGCCCATCCCAGCTGAAAGAAGCATACCAGGTCCTTTTTAGTCCACACTTTCAGGGACAGGGCCTTCTCCCACTTCTGCGCTTTATCTTAACCTGTCCTGACACTCACTGTTATACGCAGAGTCCAGAGCTGCGCCCAGGCCTTTGACTCCAGAGGTTTTTCCACAGCAATGAGACCATCTTTCTTCGGGTCTTCAGAAGCCTGTGGAACATTATAGAGGAACCCAAGATATCCCATCTGACAGCACGACAGAGGGGGCTGGGATGTGAGAAAGGCAAAGGGTCATTAACCCTGACTTCTTTTTGAAGGGGACCTTACTGAGCTGCCCCATGTCCTAGGCTCTGTGCAGTGTCCTTGTTCTGTCTCTTTCTCTCACACTCCCAGGACAGCACACTGTAGCTCTCACCATGCCATCCACTGACAACTAGATTCTTCCCAGAGAACTCCCCAACTCCCCACAAAGACCTAGTAACTCAGGCCTTTCCCAGCATGACAGGTACAGGTACTCACCCTTCTGGATACAATCACCAGAACGAGGAAAATTTTTTGCCAAAGGCAGAGACAGCTGTGACATAGAAAACAGAGAGAGAGAGAGAGAGAGAGAGAGAGAGATCAGAAACTGAGCCAGACTCCTACTCAGAGCCATTGGTTGCAAAAAGGCCCAACAGGCAAGGACTACCTAGAAAACACTGGGTACCAGCAGGTGGTCTGTGCTGCTAACTGGACCTGGAATCGTCCCAGGTCCCCAACCTCCAACAGAGAAGCACCCACCCAGTGAGGACCCGATTGCAGGCAGTGCATACCTTCTGTCAGCTTCCCAGCCTGCTCTGCTGCCCCACCGGGAAGGATTTTAGAGAATACACTCTCTCCCTCTGCCCCTGGCTGACCAGCAGGAGCTCCTGGGGTCCCCCCAGGCCTGGCTCCAGGCTTCACCCCTATAGGAAAGAAAGCATCATCATGAACAGCACTATGCTTGGTTGTTCGCAGTATGAGGGGAAGAGGGAACCTGAACACAGGTAACCTGTGACACAGAAGAAGGTGGAGGCTAGAGGAATAAAAACAGGAAGATGAGAGAGAGAAAGGCTGGGAGGAAACAGGAAATAAACAAAGAGAAGGCTCTGGCCCTTGCTCACTAGTGACTTCTAGGACACAGTTCCCTGGGCCTTCCTTGGCCCAGGCTCATGTTCTAGCAGGTCTGCAGCCTACTGGGATTAGTGAGAACATGCACTGGGTTGGGATGAGGCACAGGTGGTATAGAAAAAGATCAGTCTGAGAGTTTTGGGCGTAGCTCACCTGCAGGTCCAGGTCCCGGAGTTGGCTGGGCCTGAGGAGCCCGCCCCTGTTGGGGTGCTTTGGCTGCCGCTTTAGAGGCGCTTGCCTGCTCTGCACGTGGCTGCAACACAGAACCTGTAGCTGAGATTCTGCTCACCCCCACCCCTACCCTGAAACCACAGGGATATCCAAATTTCAATTGTTGCTTCTGCCCTAGGGGAGTCCGGGACCCATGCACAGGAGTGCTAACTCACCAGTCCTGCTGGCTGGGCCCCTGGGGCTGTGGTGGGGCCTGGCTGAGGTTTCCCTGCTGGCTGGCTGGCAGCAGGGGCTGAGCCCCTGGTGGCTGGCTGGCTCTGTTGCTGCAGCCGAGCCTGTGATGGTGGCGCCTGCTGGGGAGCTTGCTGCCCAAGACCTTGTTGCTGTTGCTGCTGCTGCTGCTGCTGCGGCAGCTGCTGCTGCTGCTGCTGTGGCTGTGGCTGGCGCGATGCTGCGCCGGAGGGCGTCTGCCTGGATGATGGTGGCTGCTGTGGTCCGGGGGCTGCCTGCCGACCTTGCATCTGGGGCTGTGCCTGGGCTTCTGGCTTTGGCTGCAGTGCGGGCCCAGAGTGGGCCTGCCGGGGGCCCTTCTTGCTGTCGGAGGCATGGTGGTATGACGACGGAGCACGGGATGGCTGTGAGTAATCAGCAGAGCTGGGGTACCCCGGCTGACCCTTCTTCTGCATGGCAGGGGCAGGGCTGGCCTGAGGGTGAGGCCGGGTCTCGTGGCGACCCATGTCCCGAGGATGTGGTTTGGCAGCACGCCGCCCCGGCTCCTCACCGGCATGGCGGCCTGAGTGCCTCCCGTGGTCACCATGGTGCCGGTGCTCCTTGGCTGAGGTATGGCGGCTTGGACCACCCTCATCATGAGGCCACAGGCCCTCCTCAGGGGGCTCGTCGTAGTCATGGTGGCTGTGCCTGGCAGGGCCTCGCTTTTGGGAGGAGGAGACTGCATGGCCCCCATGGTGCCTGAACCGGTCGGAGCGGGCCTCTCGGGGCTTATCAAACCAGTCTGTCTCCTCCTGGCCCAGGTGATACGCTTCAGAGACCAAGAACAGAACACCATCAACCCCTGGCTAGCCGTAGAGGAGACCTAGCTGAAGCCATGCAAGGGACCCACAGAGTGGACGCCACAGCCACAGGCAGGTCCCTAGGTCCCCACCCTCCAACAACCAGGGCACAGGTGGATCAGGCCGGGGCTGCCTGCAGCACAGCCCGCTGATGAGATGCCAAGACAGACACTGCTGGGACATCTTGGGGCCCAGGGGCCCCCGGGCAGGCAGACCCCCGGGCGCTGAGCATTTGCAGAAATCACCCCCAGCTGCCATTACCTTCGCTGTCAGAAACCACGCAGTGGGAGTCATCCAGGATGTAGCCCTCCTCACGCTTATACGCGTGGGCCCGAGGCCCATCCTTGACATGCTCCTGGACATCAGGCATGGAGTGGCTGGAGCAGAACTGCGGGCAGGTATCCCCGGGGGGAAGGGCGCCTCCTGCAGGGCGGGGCCGCCCCAAGGGGCTCACGGGGCTTTCCTCCTCCGAGGCCTGGCTCCTCATGGGGGGCCGGGCCCGGCCGTGGGCCATGCTCAGGGATGAGGGCTTGGGGCCGGCCTTCTGAAGTCGCTCCATGGCCTCCCGTTCCCGTTCGTACCCTTTGCCTCGGCTGCCGAAATCGTGGCTAGACAGCTTCTCCCCACTGTAGGCGGATGCCACGCGGGACCGGCCGCCGCCGCCGTACACGCGCTCATCTTCCTCCACCAGGTCCCGGCTGGACGCCCCGTAGTACCTCTGCTGCTCGTACACGTTCTTCTTGAGGCCATAGGTGATTTCATCCTGGAACTTTCTGCCCCGGGAGGTCAGGCTGCTGCTGACAGCGGGCGAGGGGTAGGAGGCCAGGTCGGACTCCACGTCCTTGGCCTCCTCGATAGGTGAGAACTTGGAGATCTTCTGCTCCAGGCCTTGCTTCCGGTGCTTGCTGCGCTTTGAGGGGATGGCGGCCGGGGCCAGGCTCTTGGAGGGATGCTTGGGCCCCACGGGCCCTGGGCCGTACTTGTCCGCCCGAGCCCCATGCCTATAGTCACTGTCACCGTAATAGGGGGTGCTGGCCGGCCGGCCGTTGCTCTCCATGCTCCGGTGATGGCCGGCTTTCCCACGGGGGTCATAGGAGTCCTCCTCGGATTCCTCCTCAGCTCTGCCATAGCAGCAGGGCAGCGCAGGCCCCTCAAGGCCAGCTGGCTCTCCGGGCTCCTTCCCGGGCCGCGCGCCGACTCCACCTGGCCCCAAAGGCTCCAGCCTTTGGCTCTCCGGGGCAGCGGGGGCGCTGTCCTTTGTCAGCTCGCTGATGTCATCAATCATCACATAGTTTCGAGGAACGTTCTGCTCCAGGCTGGTATAGTGGGAGTCGGAGGGATACGCAGGGGCTGGGCTCTGGCTCACAGCGCCTCGGTCACTGCCCCGGGGGTGCTCGGGGCCTTTGCCCGGCTCGTAGCTGCTGCTCACGGCTGGACCACTGTAGCTAGTGTCAGAGGGGGCCGAAGACACGGTTACAGCAGGGCTGGAGATCACCTCGTAATTGGTGGGCACCTTCTGCTCCAAGTCAGCTAGTGAGGCCTGACGGGGCTTCTGGTGGGGGGCACGGCTGTCAGCTTGGATTGGAAAGTGGGTGCTCTGCGTGGTTGGCATGGGTGCTGGGGCCGCATAATGGCCTGTGGGGTGGAAAGCCTGCTGGCTGGGCAGGCCAGCCTCCGCTGGATAGCTGGTTCCAGGGGGGAAAGCAGAAGCTGGGTACGTGCTAGGGCCAGTGTAGGTGGGGGCCTGGTGGGCTGGAAATCCGTTCTGAGTTGGTCCGCTTGCGCCCGCGGAGTACTGCGGGGCTGCAGGTGGGAACCGCGGCGGCTGCGGCTGTTGGAAGGCGGCAGGGCCCGAGGGCGTGGCGGGCACAGCAGCTGAGGCAGGGTAGTCCGCATACTGGCCCGCGGGCGTGGCACAGCCTTGCAGCCGCAGCTGGTTGAGCTCACTGTCAGACAGGTAGTCACGATGCTCGCCCAGGCCACGTAACGGTGGGTAGTCACGGCCGCCCCGGTCTTTGGCCAAAGACTCTTTGCGCTGGGTGATGCCCAGCTCTAGGTACTTGAGCTTGGCATCAATCTCCTTCTCCTCCTCATCCAGTTCCGCCTGCTTCTTGCGCAGCTTGGTGGACTCATGCTCCACCAGCCGCAGGTCCCGGTCCAGCTCCCGGAGCAGGCTGGCCTTGGTGGCAGGGACGGTGGTGGGCCCCGCCAGCCCTCGCTGCAGCAGACTGGCTGCGTACAGCTGTGAGGGCACCTGGCCAGCCAGGGGAAGGTGAGCTTCCTCTGGAGGGGGGCTGGGCAGGGTCCGCTTCACCTTGCGGACCAGGCCGTTGGGTGGCAGCGCCGACACCTGAGACAGAGGGAAGGGTGGGCAGCACTGAGACCCAAGCTGTGGAGACTGCGGAGGCACGGGGGAGAGGAGCCCACGTCTGGAGGTTCTTCGAGGCGGAAGCCGGGCTCCACACTGTTAAGGCCCTGCTTTACCAAGCAGCCTCGGGGTCTAGCCTGCCCACCCTCTGGTCTTGGCTTCTCTGCCATGAAGGGAAGGCCTGTGGTCATTTTACAGTTCTTTCCAATGCTCTGGGCAATAGGTAGGTGGTGGTGAGGGTCAGACTGCTTTCTGTGTTGCACGCAGCAGCTTTGGAAAGCGCCGTGCTTCTCCAGGGCCTCCTGCCGCTGAGGTGAGGGGGAGAGAGCTCTGGCTCTAAGCTTCGGACCTAGCACCCTGCGGGAGCTGAGGGCAGTGGGCATCAGGGAAAGGGGCAGAGTGGCACAGGGTGCTAGCCCCACCGGGCTCCTCTAAGCACAGGCTCACAGGAAGGGGCACCGGCTCACCGTGCCAGCCGTTTACAGGCTCGGGGCTACGCCTCCTGCTTCACTCCTCTCCGGGGCGCCACGCCGCTCAGCTTTCTGCCCACCTTCCTCTAATTCCCCTGCACAACCCTCGGCCAACCTAAGCTCCGCCTGTGGCCCAGCTCCCAGCATCCCGAGTCCCCCTATCAGCCAACCTCTCTGCAGCAGCACAGCTTCCTGCTCAAGGTTCCCCTGAGACGCCCTCCACAGCTCCTACTTGCTCCAGAGACTCTGCATTGGCCTGAAGGCCCATGCCGATGGAGCGCTCACCCCGGAGTCCCTTAACCCCCACTTCCCAACCTTCCCAGGCCGCCCCAGACTTCTGCACTTCATTTGCCACCCAAATCCACCAGATACACTGGAGACTGACACCGAAGTTCTTTTGACCTTGCCAAACAGCGACAGACAGAAAGCCCCACCTTCTACGGACGTCCCAAAAGAAAATGACAGTGTGACCTCGAGGCGGGCTTTTAGTGGCGCACAGTCAGTTTTTGAACTCCTCCTCATCTGCCTTTTCGTATTGATGGGACACCCCTAGTGCCCATCAATAGCCCGGCCCTACACGGCCAGCCTGCGGGACCTGTGCGCTTGCCTCTTTGACCTGCCCTCTCTGCCTGCCCTACCAGGGCCGTTCCACTACCAACCTCCGCAACCATCACCTCCGCAAGCCCCCGCCAAAGCTCCGCTTTTCTCTGCAGATACTCCTCACAGCACTTCCGGCTGCTGCCTCCGAGACCGCTTCCTTTGGCCTCTCAGCCCACACTGTAACCTGGGAACTCTGAAATCTTGTTCTGTTTCACCTCTCAAAACCTTCCAGGACTTGAGGAAAAGCCGACCCTCCTCAACCACACACTGACCCTCCCGATCTGCAGCTCTTCCCCCAGCAGCAGCCCGAGGCCAGGCTCTCTCTCATGGTTCTAACACACGACTGGAAAGCGAAGCCTAGACAAGGAGCCCGCACTGTCCCGGGGGAAGCGACAGGTCGAGGAGCAGAGTTACTGAGGAGAGCGGGACGGGGAACTCAATGGAGTGCAGAACGTACCCTCAGCTCTCCAGGATGGGGCTCGAGTGTCAGGCCGCAGGCTTGGGCCTGCAGCGGGCAGGGACGCCCACCTGGAGACGTGAAGTGGGGAATAAATAAGGCTTGGAGCGGCAAGTGCCTGGACTGGAGGTGAGAACGGAAGAGGCCTGACAGGAGGTGACGGAGCTGGGCTAGGTACGGGTGGGTGGTGAAAGGGACAGGGCTGTGGAGAGGCTGAGGTTTCTGGTGACGTGTCTGGGTGGCTGCTGTGGGGCCCATGTGTGTCTGTACTGGTTCGGGCTGGCCTCGCTGGGGCTGTGGGCTCTGTCCGGTGTGCACTGAGGAGCTCTGCTCCTCGACCCCTGCCAGAGGGGACTCCACTCCCACCCCAGAAGAAACCCCTCCCCTCTGGGGGCCCTCGGGCTAGAAATAGACCCCTGTCCCACCCTGGACCAGCCCCTGTGCCCATACCTGGCTACCTAGTCCCCCCTGGTGCTGGTAGAGGGAGAATCTCTCTTTGGCGGACTCCTCGGCCGTGGGGCTCAGGGGCTTAGGGTCAGACAGGGACCGCTGCAGGGTCTTCATGGGGCGAGGCAGGGTCTGCTGGTGAAGAGCGCTGTCGGCCAGGAAGTGCTTCTGGGGGCTCACGTGGGCCTTGTTCAGCCTCTCGCTGGAAGCGAACGAGGTGTCCAGGAGGCGGTGTGGGGACAGGGGCGACACTGGCGAGTAGAGCACTTGCGGAGACTTGGGAGGCTGGCGGCCCACGAGCTGTGACAGGGACTCCACGGGCAGGTGGGCCTGGTACCCGATCTCCAGGGGGTCCGGCTTCTTCTTCTCAAATCTGCCGAGCGGTCCCGGGCTTACTATCTGGATGCCGGGTAGGTAGGGGCTGATGGCGGTCGGTCCTACGAGCTGCGGCCCAGCCACACCCTGGGCCTGCCCATCCGGCTCGGTCTGGCAGGCCAGGCTCTCCCCGCGCCCGGTCTTCTCGGGTGCGGATATGTACCTGACGATCTCCACCTTGGGGTCGGTGGCGGCCGTGATGTGGATGGCGGGGGACACCCTGGGCAGCTGCTCGGGCTCCGTCTGCACGGAGCAGTCGCTGATGGTCTGGATGCCCACGCTGCTCACGGCCCTGGCGGCGGCGGCGGCGGCGGCCGGGGCGCCGGCGTCGTGCTTGCCGTCGGGGCCGGCGTCGGTGTCGCCCGACCGACGAGATCGGGAGTA